TGTAAACCTGGCAATTCACAGACCTGTACCCCTGGGGATAAAAATATATTATATGTTTATAAAAAATAAGATTTAAAAATAAAATTTAAAAAAAAAATGAGCAGAAGACATGAACAGACACTTCTCCATTGAAGACATACAAATGTCTATCAGACACATGAAAAAATGTTCATCATCACTAGCCATCAAGGAGATTCAAGTCAAAACCACATTGAGATACCACCTTACACCAGTTAGAATGGCCAAAATTAACAAGACAGGAAACAACGTGTGTTGGAGAGGATGTGGAGAAAAGGGAACGCTCTTACACTGTGGGTGGGAATGCAATTTGGTGCAGCCACTTTGGAAACAGTGTGGAGATTCCTTAAGAAATTAAAAATAGAGCTTCCCTATGACTCTGCAATTGCACTGCTGGGTATTTACCCCAAAAATACAGATGTAGTGAAAAGAAGGGCCATCTGTACCCCAATGTTCATAGTAACAATGGCCATGGTCGCCAAACTGCGGAAAGAACCAAGATGCCCTTCAACGGACGAATGGATAAGGAAGATGTGGTCCATATACACTATGGAGTATTATGCCTCCATCAGAAAGGATGAATACCCAACTTTTGTATCAACATGGACAGGACTGGAAGAGATTATGCTGAGTGAAATAAGTCAAGCAGAGAGAATCAATTATCATATGGTTTCACTTATTTGTGGAGCATAAGAAATAACACAGAGGACATGAGGAGATGGAGAGGAGAAGGGAGTTGAGGGAAATTGGAGGGGGAGATGAACCATGAGAGACTGTGGATTCTGAAAAACAATCTGAGGGTTTTGAAGGGGCGGAGCGTGGGAAGTTGGGTGAGCCTGGTGGTGGGTATTATGGAGGGCACGTTTTGTATGGAGCACTCAGTGTGGTGCATAAACAATGAATTCTGGTACACTGAAAAGAAATTTAAAAATAAAAAATTTTAAAAAATGTGTGTGTGTGTGTTACTAAAAAAAAAAAAGATCAGGCTGACCTCTGGATTTCTCAGCCACAAAAGAAATACCAAACATATAATAATATAAGAATAATATATATAATAAATGTAATAATATAAACAGTAATAATATAATTATAAATATATTTTCAATTGTAATATTGTACAATTGTAAATATATTTTGTTACAGAGGAGAAAACCAAGGTTTTCTCCTTTGTAACAGAATTGTAATATTGTATAATTTGTAACAGAATTGTAATATTGTACAATTGTAATATTGTACAATTGTAAATATATTTTCTGTTACAGAGGAGAAAACCAAGGTCAGTCTGTTTTGTTAACTTTAGCTATGAATTTTTATGCAACATATAAGGTAGCATAAATATAAAATAAAATGAAAATAGAAATTCAAAAAGAACATAATCAAGATACAGTTTTTTTGTTATACTGAGCTTTTAACAAACAAAAAAGAGGCATAAAAATTAGAATAATATAACTAATTCAGTTTAAGTTCCATGCAATATTTAAAGGTACCCAACACACTAAACAATATAATCATCATCTTCCCCATCTGCTTTACCCCTAAATAAAAAACTCTCAATTCCAAAAGATAGAAATTGTCAAGCCATCTTTTTGTACCATGATATCATAAAACTGAAAATTATTTACAAAGTGATAATTAGCCATAAACTACTTGGGAATTTTTTTTTAGCATTTTATTTATTTATTTATTTATTTATTTATTTATTATATTCAGTTAGCCAGCAATATAATACATCAATAGTTTTTTACATGGTGTTCAACAATTCATTAGTTGCATATAATTTGGGAATTTGAATACATCTTCAATAAATAATTCTTAGGTAAAGACAAAATCAAATAACTATTATAAAACTGTATATTTTTCCCAAATTAATTTATATATTTAATACAATTTCAATTAAATCTCAATAGGATTTTTTCTGAAATGTGACCGAATTGTTCTAAAGTTCGTTTGGAGGGGCACCTGGCTGACTCAGTGGTTACTGCGTGTGACTCTTTTTTTAAAAATTTTTATTTATTTATTTGACAGAGATCACAAGTAGGCAGAGAAGCAAGCAGAGAGAGGAGGAAGCAGGCTCCCCACTGAGCAGAGAGGCCAATGTGGGGCTGGATCCCAGGACCCTGGGATCATGACCTGAGTCGAAGGCAGAGGCTTTAACCCACTGAGCCACCCAGGTGCCCCAGTGCATGTGACTCTTGATCTCATGGTCATGAATTCAAACCCCACACGGGGAATAGATTATTTAAAAGGTGAAAGATTTATGGGCATAGATTATTTAAAAAAAAAAAAGTTTCTAAAGTTCATATGGAAGAATAAACTGGCAAAAAATATCTAACTTACTAAGGAAAGTCTAATTCCATTAGATATTAAAACATTACAAAACAATAATAACATTTATTTATTGAGTGCTTATTATTAATTAATTTATAAATTTATTGAGTGCTTATTATGTGCCAGACACTATTCTAAGCATATTACATGAATTAACATATTTGATCCTCATAACAGTTCTGAGTAGATACTCTTATTTTCCCCATTTTACAGATAAAATACTTTATGATTTTTTTTTTAAGATTTTTATTTATTTGACAGAGAGAAAGCACAAGTAGAGGGAGCAGCAGGCAGAGGGAGAGAGTTGAAGAAGCAGGTCCCCTGCTGAGCAGGAAATCAGATGTGGGGCTTGATCCCAAGACCCTGAAATCATGACCTGAGCTGAAGGCAGACACTTAACGGACTGAGCCACCCAATCACCCCTGTATAAGATTAGACAGAAGACAGATAAGTGAATGAAACACAAAAGGTAGTCTGAAAACAGACATATATATACACATCCGTGTGTGTATGTGTGTGTGTGTATTCATGTAGACTCATATATGTAATTTTATATTGTAATCCAGGGAGCATCAAAAGTCAACAGAAAAGGATTATTCAGGTAATGTCCCAGTTAAATGGTTAGTGTAGTTAATCCCAAATCTGTCTGTGCATCAAAAGCATCTATGTTTAAAATATATATATATACAGAAGCTGGGGTTCCATTTCTAAATATTCAGATTCAGGAGCTCTGTAGTAGGGCTTGGGCATATGTAGGTTTATTCAGCTCCTCAAGTGATTCTGATACCCTTGAACTTTTTTACTTTTAATCATATATATATTTTTAATTTACCTTTTCATAACTGATTCCTAATTTAATAACCTTGTAGTGAGAGAATATAGTTGTTGATACCAATCATTTGAAAGTTGTTGAAACTTGCTTTCAAACTTCATGCACAAAAAACCCCAAAAAAACAAAAACAAACAAACAACAACAACAACAAAAACTTCATGCACAGCCCATTTTAAAAGGGATTATTGTGTGGTTGAGGAAAAAATATATTCTCTGACTCTCAAAGGTACTGCTTGAGGCTTGTCTTTTATAGATTAATTTTTAAAATCTAATCTGAAACTCTGATACTAAGACTTCTCTGTCTTTTTACCCTATGATATGCTCTTTCATATTCTGGGGGTTTTTTTGTTTTGTTTTGTTTTGTTTTGTTTTGTTTTACTCTGCTGTCATGGAAGAGATTATCTTCCATCTCTGTAGTTCTCTCCTCAGTGAGTTCTAATCTGCTGATTGGCAATCCATTGGATTTCTTTATTTCAATAACTATATTATATTTTTTTATTCCCAAAAGTTTTTTTCTAAATAAATCTAGTTATTTTCTCATATTTTGTTGTCTGCTCATATTTCTGATTTCATTAATTTCTTCAAACATTTCATACATATTTGCTTAATATCTTATGTTTGACAACTCCAATATCTGAATTATTTGGAGGTCAAATTTATTTTCCTGTTTCTGGTGACTCTTTCTTGAGCCCCGCGATGGGCTCTTTGCTTGGCGGGGAGCCTGCTTCCCCCTCTCTCTCTGCCTGCCTCTCTGCCTACTTGGGATCTCTCTCTCTGTCAAATAAATAAATAAAATCTTTAAAAAAAAATAAAGATTGTGATGCATATTGCCAGTGGCTTTCCAGAAAGACTGTAGAACAGCAAGATCATGTATAAAGTGTGCCAATCTCATTTGCCAACATTGACTGTTATCTTCATTAATACACGATTGGTGATTTATATTTAAATGTCTGCCATTGGGATGTATAAGCTTTGGTGCACATACTGGGTTTTTTTAAGTCATTGCGCCTAAAAAGTACCTGCCACGTGGTAGCTGAATGTTTAACCAGGCTGAACCCTTATTAATATGTCATATTCTTGGTGGTGTATAAATACTTTTTGAATTAAAAAAAAAATATGGTGACTCATATCTTCATACATGTAACAATTTTTAATTATTCTTATTCTAAGGAATCCTAGAGGCCTAAATAGAAAATGCTTTCCTGGGGTACCTAGGTGGCTCAGTTGGTTAATCATCTGCGTTTGGCTCAGGTCATGATCTCTGCTTCTTGGGATCAAGCCCCACATTGGCCTCCCTGCTCAGCAGAGAGTGTACTTCTCCCTTTCCCTCTGCCTCCCTTCTGCTCATGCGTTCCCTCTCTCTCTTGAATAAATAAATAACATCTTTAAAAAACAAATTTGATCCTTGCCCATTTGAGAATACCAGGATAGAAGCCCAATGCCCAGCTGAAGAAAGGGTTTCATTAAGAACTTGTCATCTGTCCATCTGTTAGGGACTCTACACAGAGGACAAATCTAACCAAACGTACCCAGAGGGAACCCTTCAGTAAGATTGGTTTCTCCTGAGCAACTAACAATGCCCATTTGGGAAAAGGCCTGTTAACAGAATTAGCCATGAGAACCCTCATTAGAAAGAGTAGCCCATAGTGTTCCTGTGAACTCATTTACTCTTATAAGAGTCCATGTTTCTACATGGGTGCCCCTTCCTTGTGTTACCGCAGAACTCTGCACTTCCCTGTACTTGGACTCCTGAGGAGAGGGTCTCACACATTTTAGATAATCACTATCTCTTGAATATATAACTGAATGACTATTTATTTACCTTATACAATTTGCCAAATTCAACACAGTCAGTTGCTTCAAAGGTGAAAGTGACTTAAGGCTCCCATTTGTTATTCTTTTGCAGTCTGCCATGTAAATGTGATTGATATTTGGATAATTCTTGTCTATAAATTTGAAGCATGCATCAGTAATCCTTTTATTTCCTGTTTAAAAAAACAAAAAACAAAAAACAGAAGACAAATATTGTATTTGTAATGCCCCAGGGGTAAAAGTAAACATTAATGCTGAACCCCATTTTTAATATCACAGACCTTCAAATCGGATCTTTCTGAGCTTACAAGTAGAAAGAGCTTTAAAAGCACAGTCGGAGATATGAGGAGCACCAATGAAAACTATTGATGTAATACGAGGGCACTTTTCAACTAAAGCCTTTAGAAGAAAAAAAGATGATTAAATTTACCACGCTGTATAGAACAGGCTTAGCAAAGTAATGAGATTATTTATTTTTCCCAATATTTTCAGAAGGAGACATATTAACTGAAATTTTCCTAATTTCAAAGACAATGGTATCTTTATTCAATATATTTGAGTACACTTACATTTGAGTAATGGAGAGGAATCAGATTTATATCATGTTACAAAGGTGGGGGAAAACATGAGAAAATGGAATGCTCAAAAAAATCACTGCATTTAGAAGTTTGACACGTAGAACTAAAGTTAAAGTTTATGCTTAGGCTGCATGACTTCTGAAACAAAAATATCCCTAATTGGGAAACAGTTTTTTAGGGTATGTAAAGATTCAAATGTTTAAATGTGTGTGCATGTGTGTGTGTGTGTGTAAATTTTTTAATGATTTTCTTACTATAAAACTAATGAAAATCCCATTCATATTTTTCAGCAATTCAAGCCACTAAACAATGTGCCCCATCTATTAGGGCTGAGAAGAAAACATACTCTGCAACTACCTACTTTTACACAGTTGTCCGTTAGCGTCGGCATGTCGTTGATGGTCAGATGCATAATTCCAGTGCAGCTGTTTGCAATGTTCCTGAAGCCCTGGACTGAAATCTGAATTGTACAGAGTAGATGAAAATGATGGAAGAACTTATTAGCTTGACATCTAATAAAACACTAAAGAAGTAATAACCGAAGGTATGTCATGATTTTGCTACTGTATTTTAAAAATTGGAACCATAAAACAGGCAGACCTAAGAGGGAAAGAATCTGGTCTTGATTTCTTTACTACTTAATTTCTTGTATGTATATATTGTGTAATGATCATAACAAGTCTAGTTAACTTATTGTTTATTTTTTTATTGAGGCAAAATTCACATAACACCAAATCACTTGAATGGGCCATTAGCCATTCATAATCTTATGCAACTACAACCTCCATCTAGTCCCAAAGCATTTTTATCACTCTAAAAGGAAACTGAATCTATTAAGCCATTGCTCCTTACACTCCCCTTCTCACAGCCCCCATCAATCACTATCTGTGGATTTACCTATTCTAAATATTTCATGTGAGTGGAATTACACAATATATGGCCTTTCGTGTCTCCTTTCTTCCACTCGGCATAATGTTTTTGAGGTTCATCCATCGTGTAGCATCATGTATCAGTCAGTACCTTGTTCATTTTTATGGCTGAATAATATTCTTTTTTAAAAATGTTTTTTTATTTATTCATTTGAGAGAGAGAGACTGAGAGCATGAGCAGAGGGGAGGGAACGAAAGCAGAGGGAGAGGGAGAGGCATACTCTTCTCTGAGCAGGAAGTCTGACACTGGGCTCGATCCCAGGACCCCAAGATCTTGACCTGAGAGCCAAAGGCAGGCGCTTAACTGACTGAGCCACCTAGGCACTCCTGTGGCTGAATAATATTCTGCTGAATGAATAGATCACATTTTATTCAGCCATTCATCTATTGCTGAATATTTGGGTTGTTAACATTTTCTGGATATTTGAATAGCGCTACTATGAACATGAAAATACATCTGTTTATTTAAGTATATCTAGGTATCTAGGAGTGGAATTGCTGGACAATCTGGTAATTTTGTGTTTAACTTTTTAGGGAACCACCAAAATGTTTTTTTTACAGTGCTTGCACCATTTTACATCCCACCAGCAATCTATGAGTATTTCCACTTCTCTACATCTTTGCCAGCATTATTTTTCATTTTCCCATATTTTCCTTTAAAAATATTTCCTCATGGGTTTGAAGTGGTACCTTATTGTGACCTTGATTTGCATCTCCTTAATGACTAATGCTATTGAGCATCTTTTCGTGCGTTTATCAGTCACTTGCGTATCTTCTTTGGGGAAATGTCTATCCAAGCCCTTTGCCTATTTTTTTTTAATTTTTTATTTTTTATAAACATATAATATATTTTTATCCCCAGGGGTATAGGTCTGTGAATCGCCAGGTTTACACATTTCACAGCACATAGCACATACCCTCCCCAATGTCCATAACCCCACCCCCCTCTCCCAATCCCCCTCCCCCCCAGCAACCCTCAGTCTGTTTTGTGAGATTAAGAGTCACTTATGGTTTGTCTCCCTCCCAATCCCATCTTGTTTCATTTATTCTTCTCCTACCCCCTTAACCCCCCATGTTGCATCTCCACGTCCTCACATCAGAGTTATACAAATCAAAACCCTTTGCCTATTTTTAATTAGGTTATTTGTCTTTCAGTTCTTAATTTGTAAGAGTTCTTTATACATTCTGGATACTAGACCCTTAGGTATATGATTTGTGAATATTTTCTCCCATTCTTTAGATTGTCTTTTCACTTTTTAAATAATGTTCTTTGATGCACAAGTTTTTATTTTGATGAAGCCTAATTTATGTTTTTTTTTTCTTTTGTTGCTTATGGTTTTGGTGTCATATCTGAGAATCCATTGCCAAATCTAAAGTCATGAAGATTTACCTTCAGTGTTTTCATCTAAGTTTTACTATTTTAGCTCTTACATTTAAGTCATTGGTGCATTTTGAGTTAATTTTTGTATACAGTATGAGGTTGGAATCCAACTTCATTTTTTTGGCATGCAGATATCCAGTTGCCCTAGCACCAAATTGTTTAAGAGAGTGTTCCTTCCCCCATTGAGTGGTCCTAGCACCCTTGTTGAAAATCAATTGGCCATAAAAATATAGGTTCATTTCTGGTCTCTCAATTCTATTTCATTGGTTTATAGGTCTGTCTTATACCAATACCACACTGTTTGAGGACTGAAGTTCTGTAGGATTGATTTTTCTTTCAACTATCATTATCCACATTAACAGAAGCAGCAGTTGTGGAGAATGTTCAAAATACTGACTGATCAAAGGATCAAATGCATTTGCCTATGATGAATTATCTTAAAATAATTTAGTTAGGTTTCATTTTCTGTAACAAATAGTCATGAATGGGAAATCAGATGGTATTTAGACTCAGTAATGGGGAACCGAGAGTCCACCCAGGAACAGACAGCAGAGGCAACACCCCCGCAACGTCAGCTTCACAACAGCATGACAAGGAGGACAAGCAATAGCAGCTATAATGGACCTCTTAGGAGACCTTTGGAGGCTTCCTGTGTCCCATCTGTCACTGAAGGTGACTTCCAAGCTTCTGTCATTACAGCCTCCACCTATATAAAAAGGACTAGCCAAAAATTAGGGAACTGAGTGCCCGATCCTCAGAACAACCAGGGCTCAGCTCAATGCCACCTGGTCAGAAAGTGTCCCCGAGCCTTAGATGAGGCCAGGTTCTTATTATACACTTATAGCATCATGTAAGTATCATAACTATAGTTAAATTAATGTTACAATTAGTTGTTGAACTAAATCCCCTGTACCCCCAGCTCCCAGCAGGGTACCTATAGTGTCAATGAGCAGATAATATTATTACATAAGTAAATGGAAGAATGTATGAATGAATTATGAGAGCCATGTGTGTAAATAGGTTTTTGGCTGCCCAGCAGACACTGACAAAGTGAGCACCAAGTCAAAGGCCAGAGGAAGACCTTGAGAGCAGGGCTGAGCATGCAATCTGGGGTGGCTGCAGAAGCCAAGCCCTCCCTCAGGGAGAAATAAATGTGGTGCTGAGGTCTGAATATTTGTGTCCCTGCAAAATTCATATATGGAAATCCTAAACCCTCAAGGTGATGTTATTAGGATGTAGGTCCTTTCAGAGGTAATTTTGGACTCTGCCTTCGTGAATGGGATTAGTACCCTTATAAAAGAGTCCCCAGAGAGTTCGCTCTCCCCTTCCAGCAGGTGACACCAGGAAGGCGAACCAGGAAGCAGACTCTCAATAGACACTGAATCTGTCAGTGCCATGATCTGGACTTCCCAGCCGCCAGAACTAGGAGAAATAAATAGATGTTTTTTATAATCCATCCAGTCTCTGGCATTTTTCTACAGCAGCCGGAACAGACTGAAATACCAGAACCATTTTTTCTAAAGAGTTTTTGGGAAATATGTTTCTAATGTCTGAACAGGGTATCTGTTTTAGCCCAGGAATTAGACAGAATTATCCTAAAGAAATAAAGCTGTGCACAGAGACTTATATATAAGGACTCTCAATTTTCTCAGCCCTTTGTTCTACTTAGGCCTCAACAGACTAGATGAGGCCCACCCACACTGGGGAGGGTAGTCTACTTTACTCAGTTCACCAATTTAAAAGTTAACTTCATCCAGAAACACCCTCACAGACAAACCTGGAATAATGTTTAATCAAATGGCTGGGCACCCCATGGGCCGTTCAAGTTGACACATAAAATTAACCATCACAGCTTCCTTGGGGACTTTGGACATTTGAGAGTCATAGCTGATGCGTTTGCTCTTGCCTGCTTGGTTTTGGCCAATCATTTGAACTTGCCTGGATGCATTTTTTTATCCATATCAGCATCTTTGAGATTATCCACCCTAACTAGCACCGCTAAGTACCTGAACCACAGGCATAACTAAAAAGAAAGCTTTAAGATCTTATTGTTGCCTCACATTGTGAAGTTAAAACAGAAAGCCTCAAGCCTTTAGAGTTCCAATCCCAAATAGTTACCTAAGGAATTTCAGTTTTTCAAAGTTAAATAACTAAATTAGTAGGGGAAACGTTCCATTTTTGAGTGCAGGTGTATGAATATTATTTAACTTGTATAGCTTTGTGAGAAATCATTTTCAGCACTGTTAGAGTTCTCACAGAGTGAATGGGATCATCCGATGTTACGGATGTCTCAGCTCCTAAGTGACTGCTCACACGTGATGACATACTACAACATGGCTGGAGGTGGGAACAGCAGAAGAGGCAGGCTATTTGAAGGGGCTTGGACTTCTCCTGTACATTGAGGTAGCCTCCAGGACATGAGGAAACACTCAGGTCCCTTGATTGATTTCCCCCGGATTACAGAGTGAAAGAGCAAGAACACAGACGTTGAAACTCTTAACCAAGGGTTCCTTCGGATTAACATTCTTCAACAGTAACCTCCATTTCAACTGTCCCGTCCCAGCTGTCATCAGTCTTTAAACCTAGCCAGAAAGACATCTGACTTCTCCAGTACTCAGTGGACCTCTCTGCTCTTTGTCTGACCTTGTACTTCCCTTTGCCTCTTTCTCTTTTCATCTACACAAACTTTAACTATTTCTCAAGTTCCAATGACTCCAGCTACTTTCCTTCTCTTTCCCTTACAAGTCTAAAGTCTTTATTTTAGTCATAACTCTTTCCTATAATCTGCATGTCTTAAGACCCCCAAAGAGATGACCTTATACTCTTTTTTAAATTTCTTACTGTGTTGGACAACTATTTGGGCCTAAATGAATTAAAATTAGGAGTAAGACAAATACAGTCTGGAAAAATTTGGCTACAGACAGAACTGCAAACAATTCCAGGTCGAAGGTAAAGCACAGGCGAAAGCAAAGCAGTGGGAACACTGGGCTTGGATAAAGAGGCAAGATCACCCTTGGGCTGAATAGGAAAAGTTTAGTAGGTAAGGAGTGAGGGAAAGCTAATTGAAGACCCATAAGGCAAGAATGAGGTATTTGGTATTGTCCTGTCATGGATTCTTCTAAGTTTTCCACAAGTATTCCCAGAGAAAAG